CTATGGGTAATTCTATTTTCTATGGACACTTTTATTTTCTATGGGTACTTGTTTTTTTCTGTGTGTACTTCGCGAAGTTTTTTGGTGGCTGGCGAAGCGACATTCATTTTGCTTTCATGTGGATGTTCCCATTTTTATTATGGCGGTATATTTCTGTTTACCATTCTAGGCAACTAAATTTATTTTAAACCTATTAAAACATAATATACTTTACACTTTAAGAAAATTTTGTTTGCTTTGCATGCAATGTTCCACACGTTTATTAATTAGGAGTATCAAATAGTGATTATTACATCCTGGCATAGATTACAGTTTACGTAGGAAATATGGACAATATGCCGTTTCAGCTAAGGAGGTTAAATACAAGTATTGTATTCAACCTCCTGGTTTCAGTAAATAACCTGACATCTAAAATTGTTCATTTATGAAGTGCAAAAGCGTGAAACATAGGCCGTAAGCCATGGAGGTCGTTGACCTTTGTTGGGACGCCCCCCTCCCCACAAAAGTGCCAATTCATGTCACTACAGCACACATGTAGCTTACCACACGATTAGACGGTCAACCTAGAGTGTAATTTGAGTTTCTGTGAATATTTCAACAATTTTAGATGTCAGGTTATTTACTGAAACGGCATATTGTCCATATTTCCTACGTAAACTGCATGTGATGAACGTTCGCGGTTGGTAGGAGGGCAGCAAACTGCAATGCAATTTTTTCCAACATTGGCAATGAACCCTGCTTTAGATTACGGGCTTTTTTTAATACAAAGGAGTAATTTACATTCAGCGAGAAGTGATTTACCATATATCGCTACGGAAATGTTGACGGAAGTCTGAAACAATATGTCCTAGCCAACCCCCGAAAATAGTATGGTCCTGTGTCAAACATTAACATAATCTATGCCAGGATGTAATAATCACTATTTGATACTCCTAATTAATAAACGTGTGGAACATTGCATGCAAAACAAACAAAATTTTCTTAAAGTGTAAAGTATATTATGTTTTAATAGGTTTAAAATAAATTTAGTTGCCTAGAATGGTAAACAGAAATATACCGCCATAATAAAAATGGGAGCATCCACATCAAAGCAAAATGAATGTCGCTTCGCCAGCCACCAAAAAAACTTCGCGAAGTACACACAGAAAAAAACAAGTACCCATAGAAAATACAAAGTACCCATAGAAAATACAAAGTGCCCATAGAAAATACAAAGTGCCCATAGAAAATACAAAGTGCCCATAGAAAATACAAAGTACCCATAGAAAATACAAAGTACCCATAGAAAATACAAAGTGGAATAAAAAATGCTAAGTGTACCTATGGGCCTTCGTAAGATTGAGATTGGTGACAACCTACATGTAGGTCTTCTGGCATTGGTAGCTGAAGAAGAGAGGCAGGCAGAACCGGTGCGTCGCAAAAGTAACCGAGGGCCTACTTTCGAAAGTACTTCAACAGTGACGCAGGAAGTACTTCAGCAGTGACGCAGGAAGTATGCCGTGGCAGCTCCTTGCTATTGAGCAATAAAACCAATGAATATCGTTACTTCTGTTGAAATTTGGACTGGAAATAAATGCCAATAACTTCTGATTCCATTTTATTACGAAGGCATATGATGTAACAAGAGATAATGTCAGACACATTCTATTCCTGTTATGATCTGTTTTATGAAGTTGGCAAGAGAGCCGTGCCGGCTGTTTTCCCTTGCCCTTCGACATTCTGACACACAAATACAAGGTGTAACACACACAAGTACACGATGTAACACACACGTGGTGAACTGTGCGACGTAGTCTGAGGCAGGAGTTTATATATATATATATACAGTATGCTCCCTATAACTTCCTTTTCCTGACCATCTGATGCACTGATCAGCACATGTGACGTCATAATCTTAGGCAGGTGCCTGTTCGGCCGCCCGACGGGTCCCGGGCAGTGAGGTTACGGCGTCGCTTCGGCGTATTTCGCCGAACGGGGCCCGAAGTGTTTTTAACTCTGAGTTAAAATCGATTCGGCGACCGCGCGGGGCCAAAAATAGGCCGGCAGCCGTCGGGAAGCCCGCCGGTCTCCGTCCAGGTCCCGTTCGGTAGTGCCAAAAAACACGCCGAACACGCGCCGAGCGGGCCCCTTTCTTGAATTGTGACCTAAGCATTAGCAAGAAAAGATCATGAAAAATATTTAGTAGGCGAACAAATGGAAAGCAAACTAGTGTATAATCACGGAAACGAAAAAAAAATCATATTCATCCAAAAAGTCCATTAAGGACGGCGCACCAGTCAAAGAGGAAAAGAAAACACGGCATTTTACCGACTACTGTAACTTACATGTACAAAATGTTACTATGGTCGTGCGGTGAAACTACCTTTCCAATACATAATCAGCTTGTAACTAGCTGACAAAGACTTGTAACCTTTATATAACAGTAATATTGCAACTGGAAATTATTCTGTTTACTTCCCCAGGCTACTTCTCTCCGTACATGGAGTTCGTGACGTTCCACGCCTCCACCCTCACCATCATGGTTATCAGTGTGGAGCGCTACTACGTCATCTGCAAGCCGCTCCACTGTAAGGAGACCCTGACGGGCCGCTTCATCGCCAGCGTGCTGGTGGTGCTGTGGCCGGCAGCCTTCATCACCAGTCTGCCTGTTCTCTTCATCACACGCTTCAGACAGATCGACTCTGTTGGACCAGAACCGCTCTACACGTGCGAGACAGACTCCACCTTCTGGGCTAAGGTGTGTGCAGTTTTACATACAGCAATTGTTGTCATTGTAGACTAAACTTCACAATCAGGACATAACAGAGGGAACATGTCAAACCATTGTGACTTGACTGTCATATATATGTATGGATGTCTAGTCATATCGTCTTCAATGACAGTTATTCTTTCCACGTGGACATGTTCTTTATTTCTTTGCCGTTGCATTGTACTGGTCCCAATATATCTAGATCTGCACTCAGACATGTGGCTCCATCGAGAGGCATACAGTCGGTTTTTGAAATCTTTCTTGACCCATAATTATATCCACAAGGTTTCATCCGAATGTCGTTTCTACCTTTCAGGTGTACCTGCTGTCCAGCGCAGCCGTCTTTTATTTCCTGCCCATCGTGCTGTTGTCCGGCTGCTGTCTGGTCATCAGCCGACACCTCAACACTCCTGACATCCAGCCGTCCGTGGGACAGAGGGCGGCGATGGACAACCGGATCCGCTCCCGTAAGCAGGTGACGTACATGCTGCTGGCCGTGGCCGTGCTGTTCTTCATCTGCCTCCTGCCCTACCGCAGCACCCTGCTGGGCCTCATGTACGCCCCGCAGGAAATGATGCAGCTGATGGGCAACAAGGGCCTGCTGATCCTCATCATCATCTGCCGCATCATGGTGTACATCAACTCCACAGTCAACCCCATCCTCTACAACATCACCTCCACCAAGTTCCGCCGCGCCTTCAAGCAGGCCATCGGCATCACAGCTGGGAACGAGACCAGCCGGACAGGAACAGGGAACGAGACCAATAACACCCGCCGCATGCACGCGCGCAGAAGATCCACTGCTGTTTAAGTGCATGAACTGTAGACACATGTTGATAAAGGAACCACTTGCTTCTTGAGTGCCCCTACCCATTTGACCATAACCAATCCATATACATGTACCTTATTGTCATTGGGGCGTTACTTTCTTAGGATGAGAGCTGAGCAAAGTAGCCGGGAAACAATTTCAAAACTAGTATCAATTGTATTTGTATTGACTTTGTATTTGACAAATAGATATTGCAGTGGTGTGATTGTAAACCTAATATTGTTTGTAAGATTTCTTGTTAATAGTTACGTTATCACAGCTATTTTACGATTAAGGTTGTTATCCATAAGACCAAAATCTAATCTAAGACCTACATGTATATGTAGTAGGTAGATTGTTTCAGGCATTACCTAAATAGAATGTCAACTTCAGGGTACCCAGCCTACCCATTACTAGCAGTCAGTAGTAAAGACAGTGGTTTTGTCCAACAAGATAGCGCTGTACTGCGGAACAGCTGCATTATAAGATTTCATTACGATGCTGCGCAGATACGTACAGAAGAATCTGAAGTGCGTACAAACAAGGCCGAGCCCGTGTATTTACGTCATAATTTTCAATGGACCTGTCATTCCATACAGCTTAATCACAGGGAGCAGCGCATGGTTTCTGGTCCTCAACACCGGCTAATGACGTACTTGAGAAGGGACAAGACAACATCGCGGCTTGTCAGATGCGAACAACAAAAGGCAGCACTGCTGCTCAGAATGTAGGGCATGTCACATGGAAGGCTAGACGGAAAACATGTGCAATGTTAGAAACTTCAGTGACAGTGCACACAACACGGTTCCGCTGGGTAGTAAGCCCCAGGAATCCCAGAGGCGCTGAACAAGCAATGAACTTGTGCTGGCCCTCTTGTTTGGCTCGGACTATTGAATGTAAGAAGACATCACGGGTACCACTGAGCACGTCATGAGATTGTATAATATAAGTTGTTTTCTCGATGTATTCATGCAGGTTATCATGCTTTATCTTTATCTAAATGTGACGTTTTGTGTAGGATGCAGATGATTCCAAATGTCTGTAATCACGGATTAGAATGGGAAAATACCATTGCCTGGGGATACTATCGCAGACCCTTTACCTCTAGTAAATTGGTTGAATCCTTGCCCCTTTGAACTCAGTTGGTTTCACAACTGTTGGCTCTATTTAGATATAGTCTCACCGGTGCTCCACGAGAAAGGTACGTTGACATTTTATGCACAACATTATATGGTTTGAAGATCTTGTACCGAAACTCTACAATTGACATCAAATTGTCAGTTCTGACTGAAATGGCTTACGTTCTATTTGGAGCAATATTGTGAACTGAAAGGTTATGGGTTAAAATATTCCACGTCATTCGTCAGGAAATGACATTATTGAACAACAATAATATATATTATAATAATGTTCTTATAAGTTTTATATAGAAGTTGTTGGTTTAATTTTCATATTCATTATAGCTTATGTTATGAAGGCAGACTCTGCATGCGACGTCTCACGTCGGTTTGACTGTCGCAGTTACAAAACTATACAGGGGTAGTCTCAAACGTTCGTATGGCGTGTTCCAAACGATCACCCTGCTATCCATATAAAAAAAGCGCATGGGAGGAGTTTGAGTGATTCTGACATGTTCCACAAAGATTGGCCCGTCCCCAGTATTCCAGTATATACTACAATGTAGTAGTATGTCAATTGTACAACCATCTACTGCATAGATTCGAACCTATTCGAACGTAGAAGGCCGGAGAAACTTTGAAAAAAAAATCTGTATAATTTTGTGCTGTCTTTGATATTTAGTTGTGACTGGTGAAATTGTGAAGATTAAAGCTATTTAGCAATATTTGACTTGTTCTCGTTATCATTTCAATGTTCTACGTACGTACATAACCGTTTCAACTTTTAAGCGATATGCATGTCCGTGTTGTAAATAAACAAACCTATGAGACGATCCCCAAGTATGCCAGGCAGTTCAAACGTATTCTATGTATAGCTCCGGCCGGCGGTATACGATGCCCCACTTTGGCAGTTGTGTAACTGCGTCTCAAATTGGGCCAACTCCTTGAATAACATGCATGATGTACACACTACTTTGATTTTTGCAAGGACTGAGATTTACTTGTGTTTTTTTTTTTCGAAAGGTTTGAGGGTTTTTGTTTCAACATATGACGGAGGCAGCATGTGGCAGATCTAACATTTGATCTTTCATCTCTATTTCTATTTCAATTTCTATTTCTAAGTCCTCCTCTACCAGGCTTCAGAAGCGACTGGAAAGAGTAAAAATTGGCCAAATAGACAGATAACTTGCCAGGGAAGTTGGTCCGCTAAAGGAGTAAATTTGCCTCTACGGGCCAACTCCCGACATACTATCTGACCCATTTTCACTCTTTCCAGTCGCTTCTGAAGCTGGTTGAGGCTAATTGGAACTAACATTTCACGTTTGAATAATTTATTTCCAACTGTGTTTCTATTTCTATCACCATAGTGCTCGCGTCAAACAACATTACATTCTCCATCAAGCCAGGGGAGGATCAGTGACTCTGATCTAGGTGGGCATATTGAAAGGACTGAGTTTTGATTGCTATAATCACTACATCCACATCGCCCGCATCAGGATCCCCGCCATGACGGAGTATGACTTCCGGTGCCCCTCACACATCCGCAGGCTGTTCACGACCCTGCGGGACCAGCAGCTGTCCGGGGAGTTCACGGACGTGGTTCTGCGGGTGGAACACTGCACCTTCCCGTGCCACCGCGCCGTGCTGGCCGCCTGCAGCCCCTACTTCTCTACCATGTTCTCCGGCTCCCTCCGCGAGAGTCGCCAGAAGGAGATACGGATCCACGAACTGGAGCCCAGGACCATGGCGCTTCTCCTGGACTACGTCTACACGTCTGAGGCGAAGATCACCACCGACAACTGTCAGGGGCTGCTGTCCGCCGCTGAACTCTTCCAGTTCCCGGATCTCAAGCACGCATGCGCAGCTTTCCTTCAACGGCATCTCGACATGTCCAACAGTCTGGGCATCCAGCATTTCGCGCTTGCGCACCAGTGTCTCGCCCTGAAGGAGGAGGCTCACAAGTACACCTTGGACCACTTCCCAGACGTCGCTAAATCGGACGAGTTCCTTGACATTTCCTTGGACGTCTTAAGAAAGTACATCTTAAATCCAGCAACCAACGTCAAGGGCAGAGAACAGATCCTGGAGGCAGTCATGAGGTGGGTGCAGTGGGACGACGACAAGAGGAAGCGACATTTACCGGAAATGTTAAAAGTCACGCAACTCAACAAGATCGCATCGGACTATCTGGACAGGCTACCTGACGAGTATTACTTGATTCGCGAGTCTAAGGAGTGCCTGGAGATGATCACACGTGCGAAGGAACAGCAGGCAGTCGGAGGACAACCCGTGGAAGACCATGTCAACCTGAGCTTCCCCGGGTATGACCGAGGCTCGACCGATGTCATGCTGATTGTGGGTGGACTGTGGGGTAAACATGAGCAGGAGTGTAGAGGTGTGTTTATGTACGAAACCGCCACGGACTACTGGCGACAGTGCAAGCAGCTGCCCAAGTATGACATGAAATATTACGCGGTGGCGGCGGCGGGCCATCGCGTGTTCGTGACTGGCGGCTACGACTCGTACCGAAAACGTCCCCTCAGCCTGGTCCAGGTGTACGACTTGATGGACGACAGCTGGACAGAAGCACCCGAGTTAAACCGTGCGCGTTATCGGCACTGCAGTGTCTCCCTGGGAGATCACGTCTACGTCTTAGGCGGGTTTGACGGGCACATTAAGACGGCCAGCGTAGAACGCTTGTGTGTGTCACGATTCTCAGACTGGGAGCGGTTCGACTCAATGCTTCAAGAGGTGGAAATGGCCTCTGCGACTGCCTACGGTGACAAGATATACGTATTCGGCGGTGCCACACCCGGGGGCATTCATCCACGGAAAAGGTTCAGTGCTACAGCCTAGCTCGGCGTGACTGGGAGTACGTGTCGCCGCTGCCTACATCGACGTGGGCCGTGTGTAGCGCCGCTGCCCGCGGGCTGATCGCAGTACTAGGTGTCACATTTACCTCCACTAGACTCATGCAGCTCTACGACCCTGACGCCGATCAGTGGATAGACGTCCCGCCCCTGCCGTATGACCGGATGTACTGCTCCATGGCCGCACTGGACGGGAAAATCTACGTGACCGGAGGGGAGGACACCAACACCCAGGACACCCTCTCCACCATGCACGTGTACGATCCCTCCAACAACACCTGGGTGGAGATGCAACCTACCAACCGCCATCAACTCTCACGGGTCCGCCACCGTACAGAAAGTAAATGTGCAGTGGCTGATACACAGGCCTCGTAGTTAGGACGGAGGTAAACGAGCATAGGGACTCTGAACAGCTTGATCTTTTTTTTTTGATCTGTTGAAAAGGAAACACTGATGAAACTTCTTTAGGTACAATAGTCTTTATTCTATCTACTGAGAGAAACATATCTGAAAGAACACTTAATGTAAACCTTCGGACTCGCCAACATAGTGTCATGCCCACGGAAATATATACTCGGAGATTATCATTATCAGACGAATGCCGTCATTGTAATTTCCAAGTACTACATGTACAATTGTCTCTTACATTCAAATACTAGTCGCTACTACATACAATATTAAAATATTTTTTTTGTACCAAGCTATCAACTTGACATTAAAACGTTCAACCAGGGTACAGAAGTAGTGTTCCTTTCAACAACACAGTAATTATTATCATTACTAAACAAAGTCCACGTTATCTTCACTGGTCTTCAGACAGTTATGGAATATCACATTACATTCTAAAAGTACGTTATACCCATTGTCACATTCAAAAATTCTCAAATGCATTTACACTTTGTGTTTAGAATCCGAAGTTTGCTCAGTTCTTAAGTCAGCGATCTGTTCAAAAATCCTTTACTTTTTATTCTTTTTTTTTATTTCATATTTTTTTTGGTCATTTTTTATCCAGGGTTGGATACTGATTTTCAGTGGGGCCCTGCGTCATACATAAATGGACAAGTTAAATACATAAAGTCACATACACACAAACAACAAAACTATTTCAAAGATACAATAAATGATAATCATGACAATTATAATTATGAAAACACTGTAACGAACAATAATGACTAACAATGCTAATAACAGATGTTCAAATTCACGCAAAGTCCAGTCCGTTCAAATTTGTCGTTATCGAGGAGTCAGAGGTCAGAGAAGTTTGATTTTTAAAGCAGACATGGACGTACAAGTTTTTATAGTGTGTTTAGAGGTTAGGACCTCTACACGAGAACTTGCGCTTTCCACATTCAAGACTTACTAGCGGCAGCTTCAAGGATTATAGATTCAGAGTAGGAAGTTTTGATTTTATGATACGTCAGTAAAAAGGTTGACATGATTCAACGAAGATGTGGGATCATGGAACCATAGTTATAAGTGTGATACAGCCCCCCCTTCAATACGTGCTAGTCGTAGGCCGCTTGACAAAGTCATTATTTTGATGTCAACATCAACCGTGCATCCAAAGAAATGGCAGTGGATCTTCTGCGCGCGTGCATGCGGATGTTATTGGTCTCGTTCCCTGTTCCTGTCCGGCTGGTCTCGTTCCCAGCTGTGATGCCGATGGCCTGCTTGAAGGCGCGGCGGAACTTGGTGGAGGTGATGTTGTAGAGGATGGGGTTGACTGTGGAGTTGATGTACACCATGATGCGGCAGATGATGATGAGGATCAGCAGACCCTTGTGGCCCATCAGCTGCATCATTTCGTGCGGGGCGTACATGAGGCCCAGCAGGGTGCTGCGGTAGGGCAGGAGGCAGATGAAGAACAGCACGGCCACGGCCAGCAGCATGTACGTCACCTGCTTACGGGAGCGGATCCGGTTGTCCATCGCCGCCCTCTGTCCCACGGACGGCTGGATGTCAGGGTTGTGCAGGTGGCGGCTGATGACCAGACAGCAGCCGGACAACAGCACGATGGGCAGGAATAAAAGACGGCTGCGCTGGACAGCAGGTACACCTGGAAGGTGGGAACGACATCTTGATGAAGATAGCCATTTGGATACATTAGAATTGCAATATATATTAAACGATCCAGAAAGATGTTAAATTTGGATGCGTACCACAATAACACCGGTCTGTATGTATCTCAAATTCTCATCAGAGCGGCACTTCTAAGTACAACGCACAGATATATTTTTAGACTGGTACAATTGTAAAGACATAAACTACAATGATGTCCATATTGGAAAAATATATGTCATATTTGCCACTAAAGACGATAGGACTGGACGCCCATATGATTGTGAAAATATGGACGTCCAGATCGAGTCTACAATGACAACCATTGCCGTCTGTGAAACTTTAACAGCCACACACCTTAGCCCAGAAGGTGGAGTCTGTCTCGCACGTGTAGAGCGGGTCCGGTCCAACAGAGTCGATCTGTCTGAAGCGTGTGATGAAGAGGACAGGCAGACTGGTGATGAAGGCTGCCGGCCACAGCACCGCCAGCACGCTGGCGATGAAGCGGCCCGTCAGGGTCTCCTTACAGTGGAGCGGCTTGCAGATGACGTAGTAGCGCTCCACACTGATAACCATGATGGTGAGGGTGGAGGCGTGGAACGTCACGAACTCCATGTACGGATTGAAGTAGCCTGTGAAAGCAAACAAAAACTTAACTGTACAGTTGTAGTGAAATGAATGGTCGGTTGCGATCTGACAAAAGTGTCAAACAACCGAACGTCTTATACAAAGTTTCCTACAAGGTCGGACATACATCGGATCTTCGGGACCTCCACGAGGCCAGAAATTGAAATCTTTGTGACTAATAGGCCCATTGCGCGTGATGTCATAGTCACAAAGATTTCAATTTCTGGCTGTTGCAGTTTTACAGACGGCAATGTAGACTCGACTGACCAGTAGGGTTGGTGCGGAGTGTGGTCTGCCAGAGGAGAAGGGACGAAGAAGTTGGCTCTGAGAACACCTGAATTCTAAGGCCGCGAGTGATTATGTTATTCTTACTTTTCAGATTTTTACTTCGTGCCATAACCGAGGCAATGTACTCATTTTAAGTCAATATACTCCATTCCTAGTCGGACACAACCGTGAGGCTTGCCAGGAATCAAAACCGATACCTTTCTGAAGCAATACCCCTGAACACCAGAACACTTTGCCACCTGCGTTTGAACGTTAGCTATAGTTATCGAATACTAGTGCCTTTGTCCTTGCATTTGTTGACGTAAGTCAATCTGACCCGCTGGGCATTGCCGCCGGTTATATTGCAATAGAACAGACATTTTTGGTCAATGCGGTAGCAAAGATAGTCTGAAGGGCACTCATGTCGATAGAGACTAAAGCTTTCGAAGGGGATGACGTATGTGCAACATGTTGTTGTCAGAGGGATATAAATAAACCGCAGGCCTCATCGAAGCTGTAAGGCTCAGACGCCACAGGACGACATCATCAGTAGTCATGACAACGGACTAATGACGTATGTGCGTCTGCGTACCGCAGGATTCCATGAAGGCATATCACAAGGCATAGGACTCCAAGGAATATCACGAATGAGTTAGGTTTTCTGCGCTATCTAATCAGGAGTGAAGTAGTGTAAGCCAGAAGTGTTCCATGACGTACAGCATGTGCAACATGTTGTTGCATATACGCCTACCAGTGCTCAGTCCTTTTTGGCAAGCTTTCAAGCATGCTTGGACACATTATTAATTTTAACACCCTTTCTGGCAATGCTAAATCACTTTTAGTTCTTCGCGGTAGCTCGTATGACATTAACTGTAAAATTATGTTAGCAGCACAAAACTACATAACAGAAACAAAACGCTTTAGCTGTATTTGTCTTTTATGTATCCTTACTTTTTCAAACGTCTTGTAAAATATTTTCCCCACGATCATTGTAAAAGTGGCTGCAAGAATATAAGTTGTACCTAATTTTGAGTTCGCAGCCACTTAGTCCGTATCCTTCCATTTGTATTTATCACTGTGTTTCTGAATAATGAAAATAATAAAAAATGTTGTTGTCAGAGCGATATAAACAAACCGCAGGCCACTGAGAATCTTCCAGAAAATGGGTTCCCAAGCCCTTCAGCCGATGTACCAAATCACACTTGAAAGCTGTTGTATTTTATTTGAAAAACGTAGAAAATTGCCCGGTACCTAGTACTTTGGATAGTGATAAATAGCAGGAATTCGAATGCTTGTAGGTCCGGTAATACCAGATTAACCTATCTCTACTGGTGGCTATAGGCAAGCAAGATCAGTCTAGGCCGGGCATTTATCGCCATTAATAAATCCCACCTTTGGTGCATTGTATACGTAGGGAGAACATATATACATAAACGATTTCTGTATCTCTTACCGCACCAGCTGTTGAATTACTCTGAAGTAATCCTGAAAGTGTTTTCCGCCCAAAACCCAACAAGAGGAAAATGGCATGTTATAAAAAGCTTCATCCCAGAAATTTAATATATCTCGCCATGCATATGTCCCGAATGCAACTCTTTCATCGGCCTGGTGCTAGAAACAACCCATTTGTACATGTTCCTAGGCGGACCATAAACAGACGTATATATGAACGGCATGTACCAGCGTGCACACCATCGGCGCTACCGGCTACGTCGCGACGTCGATGAAAGCTTTTGTTTACAACAGTTGAATGAGGTGGAATTTAGACCGTTATCCATAGAGGCGCTTACATGTTGTACATCAGCCAAGGCCAAGCTAATCTAAGACTACAATCTAGCAGAAACTGTCCTTTTGCTGCATCTTACGCCATATTAAGACATGACGGATCAAAATGACATAAAAGTATTTGATTACAGCTCTGAGAAAGGCATGAAAACTAGGGGAGCCAAGCGCCGGTGTTCATACTGTGAAACAGTCTAGTGAATGTAATACATATGTGTATCTATGTGTAATATATACATCATGGCTGTAAACAATCATGTATCTGATCTAATATAATAGGATGAGGAGATGTGTACTTACACATGAACTCTCCCAGTAGCCAGGGGAAGACGACCCATGTTTCTATGAGAGACACGGGCATGCAGACCAGGAGAAACAGCAGGTCCGCCACGCTCAGGTTCAGCAGCAGGTAGTTGGTGGGGTTGCGCATGTGGGGAACCTTCAGCAGCACCACGGCCACCAGCAGGTTGCCCAGGACGCCGACCAGGAAGACGGCCCCGTACGCCGCCGACACCGCCGACAGCTCGCCCTGCGTCAGCAGCTCGTTCATCATCACACCAAGGACCGCATCAGAGGCATTGGAACTGTTCGCAGTAACGTTACCCACTGACACATCCATGCCTATCACTTCAATGTGGGGTCCTGAAGATAAAGTCTAAGATATCACCGTTTTCTGTTTTACAGGTACCGTATGTGGCACGCGAGCGCCCACCGTGCATGCAGTGGCTTCTTTACCTCTCTTCTCAGCACTGGTCGCTTTGCATCTTGGTACCAAGTTTCCTGCCTGTTGAATATGTGCTATAGATACGACGTCATTGGCAAACTGTGAAAAATAAACTTCAAACAAACAGGGTCAGGAATCAAATTTAGTTCAAACAAACATTTTTCAGAAGAGAAAAAAATATCAACATGACGCGTTAAAGCCGCAGGTGGTGGAAGAGCTAACGGCACACGGCACATACGCGATTACATCTCCTTTTCCATATGTGTCCAAAGGTGTGACGTATCAAACACGATATTTTCAGACGAACAGTAACATCATCTTCTCTGTGATATCAACGTGTAATTGAACCAAAGAAATCATAACGATATGTTTATGTTAGGTTCAATGAT